ACGTGGAACATCTAGGGAGAGTCACATTCTAATACTAAAGTGTGGAAATCAAAATTGGACGTGGAACATCTAGGGAGAGTCACATTCTAATACTAAAGTGTGGAAATCAAAATTGAAGGTATCATTAACACAATTCCATGTTCGACGCACAGTCAGCCCTCTTTTCAAATTGTGCATTCTCAGATTATCACGTGGATTTCTTTTCCATAAAACTGCACTTATGGTAAAAATTTGAAACCGAGACTTTTTTATTTGTACTTAAAGACCCGATAACTGAAGGAGTAATCAGAAACTTATCAGAGAAGACGATTATGAACATTCAACGTTGTGGAAGTAGTTAACGTGTTTTGTGCGATTATAATTTATTGTTATTTGTGTATTTAAGTTCGCTCAAATTATTGAAAACTCATCTGAGAATCTTCCAGTTATACGATTGAAGATGATTCCACATGCAAGATAAATTGAATTAACATTTACCTATCATAGGTGGATGTACACGACATATCATAGTTGGATGTACACGACAGAGCCATGGACCTCGTATTCTTTAAAATATTTGTATAATTTAAGGTGTATGTTATAAATGTTCAATAGTTATAATATTCGGATATCGAAAACAATATTTCAAAATTTTCTAGTTTCTAAACTTGTAAACAAATCACTGGAGATGTCATTGGAAATTAATAGTTCTGATCTAACATCTTTATTGGTCTATCTTAACAGCACTTTCTACTTAAATGGGACTATTTCTTGGCCCAATCAACAGGATGAAAGCGCTAATAAACCCTATTACGGAGACCATTTGGAATCATTCAAAGTTCGATACATTCCAATTCATGGCTACTTAAGCCTTATTATTTGTATTTTTGGAATCATGACCAACATTTTAAATATCATAGTTTTAACCCGAAATAACATGATATCTCCGACGAATGCTATTTTGACAGGCTTAGCAGTAGCCGACATGCTTGTCATGGCGTCTTATGTCCCGTATACCATACACACTCATATCCACACCAATCAGTTGGAAGAAGAGAAATATTCGTACGGTTGGGCTGTTTTCACACTTTTTCACGCTCATTTCACTGTTGTTTGTCACACAATCTCTATCTGGCTGACGGTGACGTTAGCCATCTGGCGGTTCTTGTCGGTCAGCTTTCCAGCCAATAGCAAGAAGTGGTGCACTATGCACAGAGCAGAATGTGCTATTATCTCCACATATGCGACGTGTGCTTTATTTTGTGTGCCAATGTATTTGACGTTTACAATCACGGAAGAACGCACCAATACGTTGCAGTATAAAGTTAACTTTAGTGCGATCGCAACCAGAAACAATCGTCTCCTGGAAAAAGCTAACTTCTGGGTATTTAGCGTGCTGACAAAATTAGTGCCCTGTATTCTCCTTACCGGCCTTAGTGTTGGTCTCATACGGGTCCTTTACGAGGCGGATGTGCGCAAGAAAAGACTAAAAAACCGAGCTCGCAGCGACAAGACTTCGGATCGCACTACAAGGATGTTACTGGCTGTACTGTTACTCTTTCTCATCACAGAGTTTCCATCTGGAATCCTCGCCTTGTTGAGTGGAATACTTGGCAAGCCGTTTTTCTTCAACGTCTACCTTAATTTTGGAGAAGTGATGGACATGTTGGCGCTAATCAACAGTGGCGTGAACTTCATTCTTTACTGTTCGATGAGCAGGTTGTTTCGGAAATCTTTTGCTGAACTTTTCACCCCTAAAATCGTGTCAAAGTGGATTACAGTGTCCACTGAACCTGCTACTCTGGCAACTACTTGTGTTTAACCAGAAAGAACATTGAGTAACCTGCCTGAAAGAATATTGGTTATATGTGTGTGTGCTTCCTTTTAATCATTGTTGAATGTTGATTAATGCAGACAAACGGATTTGTCTCCGTCACGATATGTAAATCTGATTACAAACTACTACGTACATTTCAGTCCTAACACTTGTTGTGGAACTCAACATATTTAGGCTGGAACAAAAAAAAACATTAAGTGACCACCCACGAAACAGCTTCTCGTGGGCAGTGTACACTTCCCTCTGGTGTGGTATTTACAGTATCTATTATGTATCGTTATAAATAGCGTGAACAAATGATGTATTATAATAACATAGTAAAAGCGTATTTTAAGTAAAACTACTACCCCTAAACCTTTGTTATGTTTATCAATGTTCTAAGATACGGTTCGTTTATGATGTTGCATGGTAGTATTTGAAAGTATATTGATTGTTGTAAACTTCTGTTTCAGTTACTGAGAGGGTTTATTTCGCACTGGATTCTACTTCCTAGTACAATTATCGTTTTATTGATACCATTTCCGGTTCTTCTCCGGAAGAGAAAGACTCCACTTGGTTCTGGGATCCAGTGCCTGGGGCTCCTAAATCCTCTTAGAACTGTTTCACGTATATATTATTATTTCTATTTATGTTATTGAAACATTTGTTAGATTAGTAGAAACATAGCTTTATAAAATATGTAATTGTACGTTATAGCTTAATCAGTTGTGTTTTTCAACACCATGTTCTTGTCACTTCTTCTTTATACAGTCAGTAACTCTACGTAAAGCGGTATTTATTGTGAAACTGGAAACCATTTAATTTTAGAACTTTCATCGTTGAAAATGTACTATATATTAACTATTAAATAATTGTTTATGTTAGAACCAATGCCTCTTCATTTCATAACCACTTGCCAGACGGATATCTTGTACTGTCTATTCTTTGGAGATACCATTTCAACATCTTGAAATACTTTTAATCTCAACCATTTATGGATATTTCACTTGATACCAACGTAAAATCCACAAGAATTGGTAAAATAGTATAATAATGATAAATTATATTTCAGATTCTACATTTAAAAGTGTTATATTTTAATACTAAATATAGTTGATGTACTAGAAAACAATGCTTTGGGTAAAGGAAAAACACCGGGTTTTATCTCAATAATTAGAAGACTGTCCAGATCTTAGATGAAAGGTAGTCTCTGTCGTTCGTGTTTCATCTCAACAAAAAAGATATCAAGGTAATAAGACGTTCGTAGAATTGCAAACACACATCGATGAAAGGAAATGAAGAACAGATAAAAAAACCTAAAACAAAACACGTTCCAGCATTTAACAACGGGTCCTTAAATATAAAACTTAATTATATAAAGGAACATATTTGTTTATTTTTGCTTGTCTGAAACGGATGGATGAGAATGTAGTAGAGAAGTTATACAAATAACAAAACACCTTTTATAGTATATGCATATATTATCCATGTAATAGTGCGAGTCGTGTAAATTAAAATGGTTGAAGCGACTCATCCTGATCAAAACTGGATATTGACGTAGGTTTCAACCCTCAACCAGATTATCTATCTGTATATATACACTAAAATATTCCAACATGACTGTTGAGAGACTACCGTATTAAAGTAAAATGTTATCAACACAAAAGGACTGTTCCCAAAATATTTTGTCTTTACCGTCTGATCCCAAAATTTATAATGTATTTTGTATTTTTTCCCACTCCGAATAAGTTGTAATGAAGCTGGTTTATTGTTGGGACAACAATATATGTTGCATGTGGATAAGATAATACGATACACACTATGAAGTAAGTTTCAAATACAATTGACAATAAAGTGATTTGGTTCTAATTTCAACTTCATTACAAAAAAGAAAAATTGTATGTGACAGATCAGCCGGTAAGAACAAAGTATTCCGGGATCAGTCCATCAGCCGGTAAGAACGAAAAATTTTGGGATCACTCCATCAGCCGGTAAGAACGAAAAATTTTGGGATCACTCCATCAGACGGTAAGAACACAATATTTTGGGATCAGTCCAATCAGCCGGTAAGAACAAAGTATTCCGGGATCACTCCATCAGCCGGTAAGAACACAATATTTTGGGATCAGTCCATCAGCCGGTAAGAATAAAATATGATTCAGACTTTTCAATGAAAAGAACAATTGTGAAGATGGGATAGTATTTATCCTGGTAAAAACTGGGGGGAGGGGGTATTTTTTCCAAATTCACTCGAGGACTACCTGAGTTAGCCGATTCTAATTTTTAACTGAGAAACTACAAGGAGGACAGTTGATCAACAACATCCACTGAGAATGTTTGAGTCCGAGAATGTTTGAGTGCTTTAGTCGAATAAAATGATTCAACTGTCACTCTTACAGACTCAAAGAGCAAATCACAGTTTTGTGAATGTCAAAATCAGAATTAATTGCATAACGTTTTAGAGATAGTATTTATGTGTGATGTATAATTTTTTGTTTTGTTTTTCACCTTCGAACAAAAATTAGATATGTCTATCCAGTGTTATTTATTAAAAACATTGAGAAAATAAATCACAAATAAGTAGGCAAAATTCAAGTGTAGTACAGTCTTGAATAAATTAACAGGTATTCCGATTTCATATATTAAAAATCACTTGTCATATGAACTTCACATGTACTTACATAAAACTTGAAAACATTGGTTTGTTTGTCTATCTTAGAGTAAAGCCACTTTGAGCTATCTGCTCTGACCACAGCAGAGAATCGAACCCCGAATTTCAGCGTTGTAAGTCCGTAGATTTACCGCTATACCACGGAGGGACAAACTTTGAAACAAGCACGACAAATAATATGTGCTATGTTGATAATATTGTTGCTATAATTTGGTTACAGCTACGCAAATTATAAAATTTAATAGAAAAAAATTGCTAGTCTTTTGCTAATAAAAATTTTATTCTTCTTATCATGTCACTTTCTTTGAGACTCTCTCTAAAGCAACATAGGCTTAAGAACAAGGAAAAGATGATTCATTACAACACAACATAATAATTTTACATTATATGTATATATAGTCATTTAACAGAATTCTATAATTAGTTGTTATCAAATGGTGTTTTGCACACTTATTTTCAACAATATTACGGGGTGTTTTGTACACTTTTTTTTCAACAATATTCCGTGATGTTTTGTTCATTTATTTTTAACAATATTTCGTGGTGTTTTGTTCATTTATTTTCAACAATATTCCGTGGTGTTTTGTTTCATTTATTTTCAACAATATTCCGTGGTGTTTTGTTCATTTATTTTTAACAATATTCCGTGGTGTTTTGTACACTTATTTTCAACAATATTCCGTGGTGTTTTGTTCATTTATTTTTAACAATATTCCGTGGTGTTTTGTACACTTATTTTCAACATTATTCCTTCCTCTTTTAGCTTTGTTGCAAGATTCACTCTTCTTTATAATTATGGAATAGCAGTTGTATTAATAAATATACAGTTTGTTATTATACCTTAAACAATAGATAAATAAAATGACATAACTTAACGTTAAATACTAATGTTATTACTATTATAAAATCAATAAATTAAAAGAGAACCAGCATTTCTCGCCGTCACTGATATTTTTATACAAATTGACTTAAATTTCTTTACGAAAAAAAATATTTGTTTCTTTATTAGAGGTTACATGTTATTATACACAACTGGCGTTATTATGATTGTCTCATGTTAACCCGAAATTTTATATTTTAATACACCTTAATTTAGCGGTAGTATTTACATTATTATGGTTTTTGTTATATATTTAATTCTAAATAAGTACATTTAAACACATGTGACATCTTTTCTTTGATTGAATGTTAAGAATCACGTTTCTTTCAGAATACTATCAATTTTTAATAACATAACTTCAACTTCGTTAGGACACTCGACTCGCAATCTGAGGGTCGCGGGTTCGAATCCCCGTCCAACCAAACATGCTCGCCATTTCAGCCGTGGGGGCGTTATAACGTGACGGGCAATCCCACTATTCGTTGTTAAAAGAGTTAACCAAGAGTTGGTGATGACTAGCCTCCTTCCCTCTTGTATTTCTCTTCTAAATTAAAGATACCTCGCGCAGATAACCCTCGTGGAGCTTTGCGCTAAATTCAGAACAAACAAGCCAAACCTTATCCATTATATGTACAAATATCTCATTGAGTGCATTTTAAAATGAATCCTTCTTATACTAAGTCTTTACGAGAGGTGTGGGGACGTTTGTAAAAAATCAGTAAAATTCCGTGGGATTCATACGCGCCTAACACTCAGAACAAAAGGGGCACGTGCCTCCTTACTTCTTCTAATTACTGCACATACATTATTATTAATAACTACGTTAGACTGACTTACTTTTTTTTTCTGCCGCCTCCCCAGTTTCCAACAAAGTTAGCCAGTCATGACCGAATGTTTTCTATTGATCTCACGCAAGATATATCAGAAAGCGAATTTAAAATGAGTCAATAAAAGTGACAAACCTTACAAGTAAACTAATATTTTGTTATAAATAGAAATTCCCTATCCCCGTGCAAGAAACTCATAACGGTAAAGGTTATATTAATACCCTGGTCTGTTGCACACAATGCAGTCTAACTTATAACAAAGTTATTATAAATCGCAATCATCGACTTGTTTTTGGAACTGCTGATCAATCATTATTACCACTATGAAGATACTGATCGTTCTATTCAATTGTTCAAGTTAGAATTGAATAAAGTATTATATATAGAGAGAGGACTTTATCCACTACACCACTCTGAGTCTCTTATATAATAAAGTGTGATATGTATATTTTTGTCACAACTCAGAATTATATTCTAGCTTATTTATAACGTTCTACAATTTAAAACATAATTTAAAATAACCAGACAACTTCCATCTTTCTGTTAGATACAACAGTTTAATGTTTGGTGTTACTTTCTGTTAGATACAATAATTCAGTATTTGGTGTTACTTTCTGTTAGGTACAATAATACAATGTTTGGTGTTACTTTCTGTTAGGTACAATAATTCAATGTTTGGTGTTACTCTGTGTTAGGTACAATAATACAATGTTTGGTATTACTCTGTGTTAGGTACAATAATTCAATGTTTGGTGTTACTCTGTGTTAGGTACAATAATACAATGTTTGGTGTTACTTTCTGTTAGATACAATAATTCAATGTTTGATGTTATTTCTTCTACATACAAAAATTCTATGATTCATGTTACCATATTAAATAAGATTTCTCTAGATAAGTCTACAGATGGTCAATGATGTACCGCACCAAACAAATATTTCATGAATAGAATGACTTATCATAAACTAATGTTATTAACATTACAAAACCAGTAACTGATAAGAACACTAAATTGTCTCTAGCTGTGATTTCAATAACTGTATATAGATCTCAAAAACTTTTATATAGCTTGCAGTTACACACAACAGATCCCAATATATTCAATAGAATTTGAGGATAAACTTCCTATATTATCTTCTCTTACTTTTAGTTGTATTTGACTAACATTCGTTAATTATTTACAGAAAAGGGAATAAAATTATTCCATATTACTGTGAGCGTATGTACAAAATTTGTAAAAAATAGATTACAAATATTGACAGGGCTGCTAATTAACATTATTTGATTAAAATGTATCTTGTTATTTCCCTTAAAATTTCTTATACAAACGCACGTATTTCTTGTTTTTAAGTTGGAACGTTAGACACTTTAGGAAAGTCGTTCTTAAACTTTGTTTTAGATTGAGGTCCTTTACTTAATTGTTCTGTCTGACCAAGATCCACATCTTAAACCTTATATGAAAAGAAAGTAATTAAGTGAG